GTCCTCACTACACGTTCCCCATGCTGCTTGTAAGAGTGTAAGTTCAGTCAACAATATGTGCTTCAAGGATAATAACAACTGGTTTCCTTTCGCTCAGTGCTTAAAATGATGTTTGAGCAACCAGGATGCACCTGTTTCCCTTTCTCAGAATGAGGGATGATGGGAGCTAAGTTTCTATTTTCTAAAAAATCTGTAAATTTATTCCAAGCTCCATCTAGTGGCCAATTTTAGTTATGAAAGGCAGGACAACTTAATAAATATCCCTTCTAGAGGCAGAACACTCCCCACATGGTATCAATGCATACCATGATTTGGGTCCTCAGAAAGAAAACAAGACCAGGTCAGAAACTATATACTATCCTGACATGCTCAGCTGACTCTTTTCCAAGCCATCTGATCAGGAGGTCTTCATCTCTTCACTACATGACAGGTCTAAGCCTCTAATGGTGTTGTGGAAAGAAGATAGCCAGGCTCTGTAGCTTTCGGGGCGGTGTGACAGAGCATCCTAACGGAACACTGGGAAAGTCCTGTTCGGGGTTTATAGATCTCCCAGGATCCTGACCTATACCTTTAGGTCTCTCCGATATGAGGTCCAGTGCAGGGTTTACCTCTCTCTCCATGGGCAATTAAATCCACCTGGGACCTGTAGCCAGAGCTCTCGGTGTGGGGATCAGACTGTAGTGGATTGTGATAGACAGTCCACGTTCTATTAGATCAGTGGTTCTCAACCTGTGGGTCGCGACCCCTTTGGGGGTCGAATGACCCTTTCACAGGGGTCCCCTAAGACCATCAGAAAACACATATTTCCGATGTGTAAAGAGCAGCTACTGTGTAGAAAGCAGCTGCTGTGTTGAAAGCAGCTACTCTGTTAAAAGCAGCTACTGTGTTGAAAGCAGCAGTATTGGAGGTAAAACGACACTTCATGAATTATAATTACTGGGTAAATAATTTCATGGTTGGGGGTCACCACAGCATGAGGAACTGTATTAAAAGGGTCACGGCCTTAGGAAGGTTGAGAACCACTGTATTAGATGATCAGTAAAATGACAATTTTATAGTTTTGCTACTTTCTGCTTCTTGCTTTTTAACCACTTGACCTCCAGAGGATTTACCCCCCTTAATGACCGGGCCTCTTTTTGCTACTCGGCGCTGCACTAATTCAACTGATAATTGCGCGGTCATGCAATGCTGCACCCAAACGAAATTTACGTCCTTTTTTTCACACAAATAGAGCTTTCTTTCGGTGTAATTTTATCACCTGTGCGCATTTTATTTTTCACGCTATAAACAAAAAAAAGCCAAATATTTTGAAGAAAAACAATATTTTTTATTTTCAGCTATAAAAAATATATAGTAAACTCAAAGTTAGTTATAAATTTAGGCCAAAATGTATTCTGCTCCATGTTTTTGGTAAAAAAATCCCAATAAGTGTATATTGATTGCTTTGTGTGGAAGTTATAGCGTCTACAAACTATGGTATAGATACTGCAATTTACACCATTTTTCTGCTATACAGCGCTGCGCTAGTTTAACGGACAATTGCGCGGTCATGCAATACGGTACATAAATGAAATTTACATTCTTTTTTTCCCCACAAATTGAGCTTTCTTTTGGTGGTATTTGATCGCCTGTGCGGTTTTTATTTTTTTGCGCTGTAAAAAAAAAAGCTGACAATTTTGAGGAAAAAAAAACAATATTTTGGACTTTTTGCTATAAAACATGTCCAGTAAAAAAAAATGCAAAAAATCAAATTTAGTCATAAATTTCTGCCAAAATGCATTCTGCGACATGTCTTTGGTAAAAAAAAAAAAACCCAATACGTGTAAATTAATTGGTTTACGTGAAAGTTATAGCGTTTACAAATGGCGGGAAAGATACTGGGATTTTTAGGTTTTTTTTATACTAATAATGGCGGCGATCAGCGAATTATGGCGATCAGCGAATTATGGCGGCGATCAGCGAATTATGGCGGTGATCAGGGTGGCACCAGCGACTTATGGCGGGACTGCGGCAGACATTCTGACATTGGGGGGTACTGACTTGGGGTCACTGACATCCCCAAAAACACTAATACAGTGATCAGTGCAAAAAAAAAAAAACCGGACACTGTACTAATGGCACTGGGGAGGAAGGGGTTAACTTTATTTAGCAGGGAAGGGTTATAGGAGCTCATCCTCGAGCTGACAGAGAGGTGACAGACAGCACAGCTACTGCAGCTGTGCTCTCTGCCACCGTTTACTGCCGATCGCCGGGACATAGCCCCTAATGAGCGGCTGTGACCCGGCAACTGACATCTGCGGCGGTGATCCACAGGACAAATAGGGCGGCAGTGCGCCTCGCGCGCGCCCCCTATTCATTTACAAAACACACGTTTTAAAACGTGGTTTTGCCTGTGAGTGCCGCCCTGCCGCCGTCATGTGCAGTGGCTGTGCGGCATGCGGTTAAATTCCTTACTCTCTTAAGTAAACAATCAGATATAGGTTGACAGAACAATGATGATAATTAAGATGGCGCCTTCATCCGGAGTCTCACCCTAGGCGACTCATTAGGAGAAAAGTATCTTTTAATGTAAACAACCCCCATAAAAGGGAATGAGTCTTTTTGGGGACAATGATTGGAAGATATCAACATGGATGGAAGAACACGCAGAAACCCAGTGGACTTTTCACCCAATCAATGTATATGCTTTGCCTGCATCATAAGCCCTATAAATGATACTGTTAGTTCCTCAATAAAACAGAATTTTAGGCCTGTCTGAAGAGCTGAAAGGTTGGTGGAAATGAACTAGCTGTGGATGACAAGTGGTAGGTTTGGTCAGTCTGGTAGTTAGGACCTGCATTACTGTGTAGTGAGAGCCAGGACATGGCTAGGTTTTTATTTTTTGATATTTTCTTGCCCTGTTTATTTTAGGTAACCCTGTACAGCACTTTGTAAATGGCACTAATAAACACCTTCACGGTTTGCCACTAATCTCACTGGATTTGGTATCTGGGCCTGAAAGACTGCTTGCCCCAGGAAGCACATATCCCAGATGCCTATCCCCAGATCAAGGCGGTCATTGAACTTTTCAAGTCTTTTGTGACTAGCTTGCCTCTTATAAAGAACTTGGCAAAGTCTATTGTGGCTTGGTTGGTTGGTTGGCTGTGTATTGCTATGGGGAAAAGGTAAGGTGTAATCATACCATGTAGCAGTCTCTGGTTTAACCCCAGTCTCTTTGTACCGTTCTGATGTGACGGCAGGACCTGGAGGACAATTTGTAGAAAAAAAATGCGATATCTCCTGCGCTCCGGGACCCAGACCCGTGGTGAGTAGATGGAATCAAACTCCAAAAAAGGAAGGAACCACTGGAATAGACAAGGTCGTGCAGCTCCACACCAAGGCTGGGGAAGCCCGAACAGAACTGTAAAGTAGAACAAAAAGAAGTGCACCAACCTTGCGCATTACCTCAGTAACCAAAATTTATTTAGTAAAAGAATGGTACTCACAAACAGCGAATAAAACCAGGCATGTAAGTCCTCAAGGGGACTTTAAAAAGGCAAGATGCCAATGCGAATCCTCCCATCATGGAGGAAGCCACTCAGTACAGCTGACGCGTTTTTTGAAGGACATGCCTACTTCCTCAGAGCTCATCATGGAGGAAGCCACTCAGTACACTGACGCGTTTCAAAGGACATGCCTTCTTCCTCAGAGCCTTCGAAACGCGTCAGCTGTACTGAGTGGCTTCCTCCATGATGGGATTCGCATTGGCATCTTGCCTTTAAAGTCCCCTTGAGGACTTACATGCCTGGTTTTATTCGCTGTTTGTGAGTACCATTCTTTTACTAAATAAATTTTGGTTACTGAGGTAATGCGCAAGGTTGGTGCGCTTCTTTTTGTTGTTCTACTTCACAGGACAATTTGTAGACTCTGGCACCTTGCAGGTAAGTAAGCGGCTTCACTTTGCAGATTTGGGGCTTGTTGCTGACTTGCGGTGGCGCAATGTAGCATCCTTGGTTTGTTTCCTCAATGTTGTCTTTGGTGCTGCTTGGCCTTGAATGTTGACAGACCTAATCTGAAGTGAGTTGTAGAAGATCCTGAGGTTCGGCTTCTGGACTGAGCACAATGCTGCGTCTATCATGTTCACTATCTGGGTATACGGCTAATTCTAAGGCCTCTGCTTCAGCTATAGCAACTGCCACTTCTTTTTCAACAGTATGCTTCTCTAGGTTTGCTTCTAGTAGAGATTTCTGCATTTCTAAGGACGCTTCTTTTAACCTCTAAGCATGCCTCTGGCTGCACCTTTTCAGCTTCTATTTGTGCCATTTCAGCTTCCCTCTGGTTCGTCTCAGCCTCTTTTTTAACTGCATTTCTTGCTCTGGCTTAATCCTGGCAGTAGTTTCATTAGCACAGTGATTTCCTATGATCGTTGGCTCCATCTAGTGACCGTAATGCTGTATTTTTTTTTCTTGAAATACTTCAATCAGAAAAAAATAGTGTTATACCACGTTGTGACCAGTAGATGGAATTGACAATCATAGGAAATCATTGTATGAAATAAAACTACCAACCTTTGTCACAGCTGGGCAAATGCATGTCATTTTCACTCAACTAAATATTTAAATACGTCTCCCCTCAGCCAATGAAAGGCAAACCCGGTCCCACACTTCATCCACGTCTTTGGTGACCTCTGATCTCCTTATGAACGGTCTCTTCCATGATGAAGATCAGCCATGGAGTATATCTGAGGTGTATATCAGGGTGTGCTTCTTCCCCACATGAGAGCTGGGATGTCCAGCAACATTCATCTAGAAGACATTTCCCGCACTCAAGGCACTAATACACCTCCAGGGTTGTGTGGGACCCCTGATGTACAGGAAGACAAGACTTCAGTGAGGAACATTTCCCTCACTCAGGGCAGGAAAGTGGTGTGAGATCTCTGATGTATGTAAAGATGGGACTTCTTAAAAAACCAGGACAGGAAAGTGGTTTCTTGAGATCTCTGATGTCTGTAAAGACTGGACTTCTCTGAAAAGCATTTCCCACACTCAGGACAGGAATACAGTTTTTCTCCTGTGTGCAATCTCTGATGTCTGTAAAGATTAGACCTATCTGAAAAACATTTTCCACACTCAGGACAGGAATACGGCTTCTCCCCTGTGTGAGATCTCTGATGTGTGTCAAGATTGGACTTCTGTGAAAAACATTTCCCGCACTCAGGACAGGAATACGGCTTCTCTCCTGCATGAGATGTCTGATGCATACGAAGACCGGACTTCCTTGAAAAACACTTTCCGCACTCAGGACAGGAATGTGGCTTCTCACCTGTGTGAGATCTCTGATGTCTATAAAGACTGGACTTCTGTGAAAAATATTGTCCGCACTCAGGACAGGAAAGTGGCTTCACACCCGTGTGTGATGCATCTGATGTGTGACAAGATCTGATTTTTGTACAAAATATTTCCAGCACTCAGAACAGGAATACAGTTTTTCTCCTGTGTGTGCAATCTCTGATGTCTGTAAAGGTTAGACCTATCTGAAAAACATTTTCCACACTCAGGACAGGAATACGGCTTCTCCCCTGTGTGAGATCTCTGATGTGTGTCAAGATGGGACTTCTGTGAAAAACATTTCCCGCACTCAGGACAAGAATACGGCTTCTCCCCCGTGTGAGATCTTTTATGCACATTAAGTTTGGCTTTAGAACGGAAACCTTTCCCGCACTCAGTACAGGAGAACCTCTTCCCTGTTGGAAGGCCGGCCCGGTCCCGCACAGTCTGAGGTTCCTCAGGATACGAGGAATCCGATGGTCCATCTACACTGGGTGGTGCCGGATGGACATTGGAGGGAGCCGGGTTTTCTCCTGGACTATACTGTGTGATGTCCTCATCTTCTACTTTCCAGTCTGGAGACAAAGTGAGACAATCCTCGGAGGTTTTCCTCATCTCCCGGCCATGGACTAAAATACAAAGACAAAGAGGATTACTAGACAGGAGCTGATTGGTTCCCCCAAACCAGGACTCCCCCACATCAGGCAGCTTGGTCTCTGAGGAGCTTACAATTCCACCCAAGGGAACTAGGAAATGGCTCCTCTGATCTCCTACCAGGTCATTTCTTTATTCATGGACCTTAGTCAGAGAGTGAGGAAACAACCAGAACTGTCTTTTATAGGAGGGACAGTGATGAGGGGATTATAAGACGAGGGTCCCCACCCCCTCTATCACTCATCGCCATCTTCCCAACACAAGAAGTACTGCACTTCCTTATTTAGTCCATGATTTAGTCATGAAGAACAGCGGGGCTGAGCCCTACCAGAGGTCAGAGAGTGAGGATGGGGGGGGAGAAGAACCAAGATGAAGACTGGACTGATCCTGAAGACCACCATCATTGGGTTATTGACTCCTCCCTCATTATCACTTTCTGTTTAACCCCTTCACGCCTAAGGGTAAAACAAATCTAAATGCCTAAGCACAATTTTGCAATGTTGACCTGTGTTAGTAAAACCGTACATATCATCACAGCTACTTTGTACATCCGGGTGAATTATACCATGTTTTTTTCAGGACAAATTGGGCTTTCATTTGGTGGTAAATGGTAATGGATAGCTCCTGTTGTTTTTTTTTTTTTTTTTTTGTTTTGTTTTTTTTTAATTATTAAAGGAAATTTTTTTTTAAATTTAGCTGTGTGTTTCTTGTTACTACCACCAAAGAAAAACCTAAAGTAAATTTTCCAGCTCTTGATGATCGCAGTGATACCATATATGTGTATATTATTTGTTGTTTGTACCCGCAGTACAGCCCAGAAACAATAGTGCGCATTTTTTTTTCATGTAAAACACACTGACACTAACTGACATTGATACCAATTAAAAATAAATCCTGATCTTTGTCCCAAACATTAACCCTGGCACTGAACTAGATCAAACCTTGAACTAGGTATTTTTTTCGTTTTTCTTTTATTTTTTAATATTTTTATATTTTTTAACAAACAGGGTTTTTTCTCTATGTAAGGAGTAAGAGAGATACATTGTATCTCTCTCCTCCATTCATAGAAAAAAAAAAACAAGGGGGCGGGCTGCACAGTGACAAATCACTGTGATAGCCAATCAGAGGCTATCACAGCGATCATGTGACCTGGAAGCGGGAGTCCCAGGTCCCAATTGTTAGAACGGGACCCTCGGTGGCACCCCGGTCTTTGTGCCGTGTGGCGCTCTCCCAGCACAAAGACAGGTACGCAGATATGCGGCCCCACAGAAAAAAAGCCCAGTTCTGTGAGGCTGCATATCTGTGTTACAACGGCGTGAAAGGGTTAAGGTTCCAAAGTTGGAGGATGTTATCACATTTATCAACATGTAAAAGTCTGTGCTCCAATCACATCATCCGATATAAAAATGTCCAGCTGGGAGGAAATGGGAGCAAAATAAATAAGGCCGATGTAATGAATAACTTACTATATAGTCCTAACTTTTGTATCATATACAGTGGGCAAAAAAGTATTTAGTCAGCCACCAATTGTGCAAGTTCTCCCACTTACAAAGATGAGAGCGGCCTGTAATTGGCATCATAGGTAGACCTCAACTATGAGAGACAAAATGAGAAAACAAATCCAGACAATCACATTGGCTGATTTGGAAAGAATTTATTTGCAAATTTTGGTGGAAAATAAGTATTTGGTGAATATGAAAAGTTAATCTCAGTACTTTGTTATATATCCTTTGTTGGCAATGACAGAGGTCAGACGTTTCCTGGAAGTCTTCACAAGGTTGGCACACACTTTTGCTGGTATGTTGGCCCATCCTCCATGCAGATCTCCTCTAGAGCAGTGATGTTTTGGGGGCTGTCGCTGGGCAATACGGACTTTCAACTCCCTCCAAAGGTTTTCTATGGGGTTGAGATCTGGAGACTGGCTAGGCCACTCCAGGACCTTGAAATGCTTCTTACGAAGCCACTCCTTTGTTGCCCGGGCGGTATGTTTGGGATCATTTTCATGTTGGAAGACCCAGCCACATTTCATCTTCAATGCCCTTGCTGATGGAAGGAGGTTTGCACTCAAAATCTCACGATACATGGCCCCATTCATTCTGTCCTGTACATGGATCAGTCGTCCTGGTCCCTTTGCGGAGAAACAGCCCCAAAGCATGATATTGCCACCCTCATGCTTCACAGTAGGTATGGTATTCTTTGGATGAAACTCAGCATTCTCTCTCCTCCAAACACGACGAGTTGTGTTTCTACCAAACAGTTCTATTTTGGTTTCATCTGACCATATGACATTCTCCCAATCCTCTTCTGGATCATCCAAATGCTCTCTAGCAAACTTCAGACGGGCCCGGACATGTACTGGCTTAAGCAGGGGGACACGTCTGGCACTGCAGGATCTGAGTCCCTGGCAGCGTAGTGTGTTACTGATGGTAGCCTTTGTTACGTTGGTCCCAGCTCTCTGTAGGTCATTCACTAGGTCCCCCCATGTGGTCCTGGGATTTTTGCTCACCGTTCTTGTGATCATTTTGACCCCACGGGGTGAGATCTTGCGTGGAGCCCCAGATCGAGGGAGGAGATATCAGTGGTCTTGTATGTCTTCCATTTTCTAATTATTGCTCCCACAGTTGATTTGTTCACACCAAGCTGCTTGCCTATTGCAGATTCAGTCTTTCCAGCCTGGTGCAGGTCTACAATTTTGTTTCTGGTGTCCTTCGACAGCTCTTTGGTCTTCACCACAGTGCAGTTTGGAGTGTGACTCTTTGCGGTTGTGGACAGGTGTCTTTTATACTGATAACAAGTTCAAACAGGTGCCATTGATACAGGTAATGAGTGCAGGACAGAGGAGCCTCTTAAAGAAGAAGGTACAGATCTGTGAGAGCCAGAAATCTTGCTTGTTTGTAGGTGACCAAATACTTATTTTCCACCATAATTTGCAAATAAATTATTTCCAAATCAGCCAATGTGATTGTCTGGATTTGTTTTCTCATTTTGTGTCTCATAGTTGAGGTCTACCTATGATGCTAATTACAGGCCTCTCATATATTTTTAAGTGTGGGAGAACTTGCACAGTTGGTGGCTGAATAAATACTTTTTTGCCCCACTGTATAATATCACAATGATGTAATGTACAACATAGAGTATACAGTGCAGGGGTCAGGAGTATGTAATGTACAACATAGAGTATATAATGCAGGGGTCAGGAGTATGTAATGTACAACATAGAGTATATAGTGCAGGGGTCAGGAGTATGTAATGTACAATATAGAGTATATAGTGCCGGGGTCAGGAGTATGTAATGTACACCACTAATATTATTATTATACAGTATTTATAAAGCGCCAATAGTTCGCTCAGCGCTGTACATTACAATGGGAGACAGAACAGCCGTATTCAGGATGGACTGAAGCGGGGATAGCCAGCGGTGAGGCAGGCCAGTGAGGAGGGAGTTGCAGTAATCGAGTCGTGATATGATGAGGGAGTGAATGAGCTGTTTAGTGGTTTCTGGGGTTAGGAACGTGCGGATTTTGGCGATGTTGCGGAGGTGGAGTCTGCACAAGTTTGTTTTAAAGATTGGACTTGGGGCTGGAAGGATAGGTTGGAGTCCAGAATGACACCAAGTACTCTGGCCTGCGGGCAGGTTTGATGGTGGCGTTGTTGGATGTGATGGAGAAGTCAATGGGGGGTGGTGTCCAGGCTGGGGGGGAAGACAAGAAACTCGGTTTTGGAGAGGTTCAGTTTAAGGAAGTGGAGCGACATCCAGTCAGATATGTCGCTCAGTAGGTGTGTGATTCGGGCGGAGACTGAGGGGTGAGGTGGGGGGTTGAGAGATAGATTTGTGTGTCGTCGGCATAGAGGTGGTAGTGAAGCCGTGAGAGTGTATGAGTTGGCCAAGGGAGGAGGTGTAGATGGAGAAGAGAAGGGGCCCGAGGACAGAACCTTGAGGGACCCCAACAGAGAGGGGGAGTGAGGGGGAGGTGGTAGCATTATAGGTAACGCTGAAAGAGCGTTGTGACAGGTAGGATGAGAGCCAGGAGAGAGCAGAATCTCTGAGGCCGAGGGAGTGTAGTTTTTTGAGGAGGAGGGGGTGGTCGACTGTGTCGAAGGCCGCAGAGAGGTCAAGGAGTAGGAGCACTGAATAGTGGCCATTAGCTTTGGTGGTTAGCAGGTCGTTGGAGAGTTTGAGTAAGGGGGTTACGGTGGAGAGTGGGGGACGGAAGCCGGACTGTAGGGGATCGAGGAGGTTGTTGTCGTTGAGGTGAGAGCTTAGGCGGTTGTAGACTAGGCGCTCGAGGAGTTTGGATGTGAATGGGAGCAGGGAGATGGGTCTGAGGTTGTTCGGGTCACTGGGGTCCAGGGAGGGCTTTTTAAGTATGGGGGTGATGTGTGCATGCTTCAGAGGGGAGGGGAAAGTGTATGCCGGAGGAGAGGGAGAGATTGAAGATGTGGGTGAGGGAGCGTAGGATGGAGGGGGAAGGAGGTCGTAGGAGTTGTGAGGGGATAGGGTCGAGGGGGCAGGTGGTGAGGCGGGCATCAGAGAGGACCTTGGAGAATTCCTCTATGGTAGTAAGGTCATAGGTGTGGAGTTTTAAGGGGGCTTCAGTATGAGGAATGTAGGGTGGGGTGGAAGTGGGGGTCAGAGCAGTGGTGGAGGCGTGGGGGAGAGGGGTGATGAGGGGGGTAGCTGAGTGAGGGTGAAGGGGGTTGGAGGGATTTTGAGCAGTGACGAAGAAGTCCCTGTGGGTTATGTCAAGGGAGAGGGGGGATG